TGCGACGCTGGCAAGGCAATTCCGTTGCCGACTGTGAGAGTCCTCGCGTACGAGAGAATTTATTCTCAGTTGAATTAATAAAAAATTATAACTCTATGAAAGTAATTCCGATTGAAAATCTTGTTATTTCGCATTTCCCTTTGCGTTTCAATGAAACGCGGAGATGATTTCACGCTGTCTAACTTTTGGAGCGGCGGCGTGCTTGCGAGGAATGAATAAATGATTAATTAAAAAAAGTCGCGAGCGCGTCGTCGAGGGAATCAGTGGCCGGCTCCGAAGCCAGAGTGGGCTCATTGTCTGCGCCTCGGCCGTGTGGGAGCGTTTAAAAGGTCAACCCGTCTAAGCACGCCCTCGCGCTAGTTGGATGTGTATAAAGATTAATTGGAGTGTTGCCTGTTCTGACAATTTGCGACGCCTTACAGCGGGCCGGCCGCAGACCACTTCGGCGCAACTTAATTAAGCGAAATAACTTAAACGAGTCACCGTTGCTAATTAGCGCTCTAGTCGCGGCTAATTGTACGAGCGAGTCGTTTGCGCGAGTTTCTTTGAGCCGAAAGAATTTGTCTTTGCATCGACTTTGAAGTGTGTTTGTTTTGCGCCCGAGGAACGAGTCTGCGCTCGTATTATTCGGAAAAGATTTAAGGTCGGCGCACACTGGGCGTTCGAGCGATCGTAAAAGACATTGAAGGGTTCTCACCTTTAGAACCCTCGAGGTGTGCACACAGTACGCCAACAAGTGGCTAGTTTCCTACGCTAAACCTTGCGTCTTTTGAACATTAACGAACTAAAATGTTTTAATGACTTATTATTTTTACGCCATCTGTTATCGTGGAGTTTCTCATTAATTTTTTATTGTTCGTTTTTCCAAAGCTGATTATTATTAATTAATTAATAGCGATAGGCATTTAATAGATTGGGCTCTTGTGTAATACTCTGAATGTTTATTTGTTTTAAATCTTTTCTATCGCATGAGATAAAGGTACACATACAAATAAGGTTTGCAATTAAAAAGTTATTAATAATTGTTTAATTTTGAACTGCATTCGAATATTCAAATAAAACACTTAGCAGTATATAACTCGAAATGTTTTAGAAGTTGGTATATAAGCATCCGAAATATCAGGCCGTAGATAAAATAAATTGTAAATAAATTAATCCATCCAATTTTCATTTAAAACTGTTATAAGTGTTTAGTACATTTAAATGTGTACTGCGCGCGTAAATTTTTAACAAAAAAATTTTAAGAGTCGAACAGACTATGTATATTTGGTTTATCTTCATAGCCATATTTATAAGCTTTTAATTTCTCTAACCAGGCTGTAGATTGCCCCAAGCGAAGAGCCCATCTATTTTCGCGGCTAAAATGCTTTCGCTAATCGATGTTTCCGTTTTAAAACGCAATTTGTCCACGGACACCTCTAGATAATTACCTTCGTGCGGCCCTCACCCTTTCAGTGGACTTTCAGAGATGTTTATCGTAAGGAAATGGACATTTTCCGTTTGTCCACAATGCAACCATTAAGGTACAATTTTAATGGACTCAAGTTTCGTTGCGGGAAAATTTATCGCTGACGCAGAACAAGATTTTATAAAACGTCTACATTATTTTTATAACGGACGGGATTGTCTTTAGATGTTTGAATTTGTTATATTGGAGGAGGAGAGATAACTCGACAAGAGACACCCGTACTTTGAATTTGGATATGCTGAAATCCATAGACTGAAATCTAAATGCGATTAAACTTCACGACTTATTTATCAGTGGATGGTGGTCGGTGACCTCGTCAGACTTCGATATTCCTACCACCCATTAAATATCCAGACAAAAATTAGTATAAATTGATTAGAGCTATACATAGCTACGATTAAACAAACGAGCGCGAGCTTAATGTGTAAAAGTATTTTAGATAAATTGAAATGACGACACAGGTGGCAATCGAATCCTCAACTACTTTAGATATTAATTTATACTGCTGTGGGTCAATAGTTAATCGAATCGTTCAGCACTGTACTAAGTGCAAGAGCTCCTAGGTTCAAACCCCGAGAAATCATAATACATAGTTTCAGTAGTACATAAAAGCTGTTAATAAAATAGATCGGAGAAACGGACACAGAAATTGTTCCGCCCCATGCCCCATGGACAGATTTTACATTGTGTTATAGTCGGTTAAAAGTAACTTACGCAATACATGTGCAAAGATAAATCCGTATAAATACTATTATTATTATCATTTGTACGTTAATTAGTTGACTACATGAATTTTCCTAATCTATTATAATATATAAAGCTGAAGACTCTGTTTGTTTGGACGCACTAATCTCGGGAACTACTGGTTCGAATTGAAAAATTCTATTGCTCTGTTAAATTGGTTAGATCATTTGTCGAGGAAGGTTATAGGTTAAACATCGTGCGGTGACTAATAGGAGCAAAGAAACAGCGGGAAATGTGGAAAAAGCGGGGAAAATGCATCAACTCTGTGGGTTTCCGATGCGTACGCTGTAAAAACGGTACGAGATTCCCAAAACGTAATTTCGAAATATGTGTATCTTTTAAGATTAACTTGCAAGAACAACGGGCCGCGTCCGAAGCGGTGGATGGCTCAAATTTAAAAGATGCTTAGCTCATAAAGAGGTATGAAAAAAAAAAATTGTATGCCCAAAAACTTCTATTCTACGCGGACGAAGTCGCTGACACAGCTAGTATGAAATAAGTTTAAGCGCCTTAAGTGTATATAAGGAATAAGCTTACGTTACAGAATCGTATGGAAGTTTCGTGGTTAATTACTAATTAATTAGAATTTCTTACATATTGTTTATCATGAGGAAAAATGTGTTTGAAGCCGAGATATAAGTAATTACGTCTTAGTTACTGAGTAAAGAGCTTTTTGGGATACTGATGGAAAATTCCGAACGATTTCTTTGCCAATCACTATGAAACCGCAAAATAAATGCTTGATATAACACTATTAACGGTTTAAAACGCCATATGTATTAGTCTACTTATTAGTTGATTACGGCCGACGTTGCTGATGCTTTGCAGCCGTGGTCACGGGGGAAGAGTAGATAAAGGTGTCCCTAATGTCAAAGACAAATCTGCTACTCTTGCGCCATCTGTCTAGTCGTAGTTGGTAATTTAGTGCTTTTTATTTACTTTTCTTTCAAGAATAACTATGATATATAGAAATAAATCTGTGTATGTTTGTTCTGTAAAAAATATTTCTTTCATAGTTAGTTCCATTTTTAAATTTAAATAATTATTGCTTTCAAGTACTTGTTGCTTATTGTCTTAATTAAAATATGTCTTTTTCTGTATTTTCCTAATGCAGCAACATCTCTAATAAAGAAAAAATAAAAGCTTTACGTTAACCGATGACACAGCTTAAGATAGCGTAGAAAGCTATGATAACGCTTATTAAAGTGCTGTACAAACATTGTTCGATATAACTCTTCGTCTCTATCTTATCAAGAGGGAATATCGGCCAATAGATATGCAAAGAAGGGGAAACTCAAACGCAGTGGATGGCAGGTGGCGTTTATCGCGAGATAACGTGGAAATTAGTCAAGTGGAAATCGATGCATGTAGAAAATTTTCCGTTACTTCGTCGAGGTTAATTCGAAGTATAGAATACATAGTTTCGTTAAGGCTTTTCGAAGATAACTGATGCTAATAACTACGGGCATTGAATGCACACGGTCAAGCACGGGTCATGAAAATACTGAAAAAATCCGATATCGTCAATATATTAATATTGACGTCTTATATAAAATATTACTCTATGTAACGTAATTGAAACTTATCGAACTTCTTTTCTTTAAGAACGACATTTTTATTTTTACCTTTATAAATAACTAGATGTGTTAACAATAGTTATTTTGGGTATCAAAATTAATTTTTGTGCAAATCTGTCTTCGTCTTTATAAATTTAAGCTGTTACCAACGTCGTGGGTCCCACGACATTCAGTTCTTGTAAGTTGATCATAAAAAATAAACATATAGTGTCTTCGGACTTTTTTTTATAATTTAAAGAGCAATAATTTCGTTCTTTCGTTCATATTTTTTGAGTATCTTGAACAGTCTACACAGCGCGCGAACTTTTCGAACTAGTAGTTCCTGAGACTAACGGGTTCAAACAAACAAACTCTTCAGCTTTATATATTAGTATATTATGAGTACTTTGAGAATAACTTTACAGATGCATTGATTGTATTAAGGGTATAATAATATTATGACAGTATTCTGTTCGTAATTATCGAATGATTGTCGTATGTTATAAAATTGTCGAGCAAATTGAAGACCGAAGCGCTCCGAGAATTTACTGTACGTACTTAGCTGTAATAATTTATAGTCATTTAATCATCAAGTATTCTTGCAACTTAAGTAGACGGACCATTTAACTTTAAGTGCGTTTCAGAGTTGATTTTTACGGATAATGAATATTTAAAACATGAGTTTGCTTAGACTAAAATTAATAAAATTTATAATCTGAAAGTGACGAAAATTTAATGTTTTATGAAAAGAAAATTATTTCTGATACTGTTATCGCACTGTCTGTAGTTTACACGAGTAGTACAGAGTTAAGTACTCCGAACCGTCGTGCCGTAGTAAAAATAATAAGAAGTTTAACTAATATATATCGCTTTTAAAGTGTTTTATTTAACTATTATCGTTTTAATTTATGCAATAGTCTTATGATTATAGTTTATATAGATTTTATTCGTTTATTCTCGTATGATATCGAATAGGGATGCGTCCCCACTACACTGTGATAAGGAAATAGTGAATTTTCACCCCTTTATTGAATTATTATAGGGTTATTGGATAATCGATCTCGAAGACGCTGTAATTGCACTTAAATAATTTAACTTGAAGATTGCTATATGCCTGATTCAATTGTGTATACTATTTTAAACTACCCATTACATTACGCGGTTGGCAATTGTTTTTAGCTTCTGTGGTTTAAATCTGTCTGAAAAGGAAAATAAGTAGCAAAATGACTTACCTAAAGTTTGAGAACCACTTGACGAGCTGGGCAGTGTTGTTCTTGTTGAACTTGATGTCTGGGAAGTACATCTTGAGGACCGCGGAGCTTGGGTACCGCACCCAGAAGAACATCAGCTTCGCCTTGCGTAGGTGCATCGGTGTTAATGTTGAAGAGTGCAGTGGAATTAAGGATCATATTGGCTTGTAGAATACACGATATGTGCTATTAAATTAATTTGATACATGTACATATTTTGCAATGGATTATGATGCTTATGAACGAGTGAAATTTGTTTTAAATAGTATTTATACTTGACGTAGATTATCTTTCACATGTAGAATTAAAACCTTATTGGATCATTGAGCGATCCGCTTTATTTTATTTGGAATCTTAGCTAAAACCATAATCGGTGTTAAAACGAATTAGGCTAACTCTAATGAACGGCTATAGATGTAGAGTTATTCTTGGATATAAGGAATGCTGGTAAATCTGATTATATCCACGTATTACGTCGGTTCAACGAAGCACCACAATACCTTAATCCGTTTGCATCTAATCTTATAAAGCGCCTTCGATATCCAGGCATCTACTGTTTGAATTAATTAGTGCTGCCTTTGTGTTTTACATAATAATGTCGTTCTAAGTGCACTGTATCGATGGCCATATATGACAGTGGTCATATCGAGACTTCGGATACATTCCCTTTTAGACGTAGGACGCGTATGGAGACGTGAAACCGCAACATTTGTGAGGTTTCAAGAGTCGAATGATACCAACTGTTAAGTAGGAAGTCGTAAGGTTAAATGTAGAAATAAGATATCTACCGCTGTTCGCGTGTACGGCTTGAGGATTCGCTGACCGGATTACGTATCAGTTCAGTTCTTACATAGTTGTGCGTTCTCGGTGCTACGCAGACGAGTTTTAGATATTCGCGTAAAAAACCTATTCTTTAGAAAGTGTTATGTAATGAATTATCTATTAAAAAGGATATAGTAGGCTGAACTCCGTCGTAGGGCAGGTCGGTGGAGTTGCAGTCGGAGTGAGGGTCCTGCGTGTCCATGTGGTGCGGATGGTGAGGCCCGGCTGCATGGTGCGGCACGTGGGGGTGCCGCAGGTAGTCCGGCGAGCCATGGTGCGCGGCCGCGAGCAGCACCGGGTGCAGCATCGCCGGCGCGTTCGGCAGCGGAGGAGAATCCCGCTCCGGCGCCGGCGGAGAGCGGGCCAGACCCCCACCCGCCCCAAAAAATGGGGAGTACGGCGAGAACACTTGACTCTCGTGAAGCGAAGGATTCGGTATCGCCACGGACGTCGGCAGCGCCATACCTCCGTGGAACGGTCTCGGCGAAGGCGATTCGGGGAACTTGCTCTCGGGCGACTGCCCCACCCCCTCCCCGAGTATTCTGCTGACCGTGCGCGGTGTGATCCGGGTGTCGGTCACCTTATGCCGCTTCTTCTTAGGCGTCACCACTAAACTCAAGGGTTCGCTGGGGTCAATGTTCTGTTCCCGGTCGAAGTGGCCATTCATCGGGCCGAAGTGCGAAGGCATGGGTTTCTGCGGCGTCTGGAACAGGCCTGTCGGGGGTCGCATGTGAGCGCCGTGGCCTGGCCCGCCCGCCTCGGGGTGCAGCGGGAACGCCGCGCCGCCCGGCGCACGGGGGCCGTTTATGTGGCTCATAAAAATTGGGTTATTTGTCATGAAGGGAACGCCGTTTGGGGCGCCGGGGTGGTGGACGGGTGGGTTACCTGGCATTTGTCCCGGTGGTCTCTCTGGTGCTTTGGGCGGTGGCGATTTTCTGTCCAGCATTCTTGATGCGCGCATTAAATCCTTGTTCAGTTGTTCTGCGGCCGCCGCGGCCGCTTCCGACTGCTTGCTCATTATGCGTCGCTGGTGCACAAATCGAGTTACGATCGAGTCTATGAGACTCGCTAGTGACGCTGTTATTTCATTTTTGAGCACTTCAGCGAGACTTTCGAGATCCGCTCCGGTTATCCCCACAGACCCCGTATTGCTTCTCAACGCATCTAACCGTTCCGCTAGTTCTGAAGGCAGAGGTGGCTTCGGCGTCTGGCCCATTTGTCGCTGTTGGGGCGAGTGTTGATTGGATTGTGACCTTTGTTGTTGATTATTTTGTTGTTCACTCGCTTCTTTGAGGCGGGCCTCTTGTTCTAAGAATAATTTTTGACTAACGTTAAGATACATGGCGGCTGCGTTGTTTAGGTGCTGTTGATGAGAGTGAGGTGCGTGCATGTGCTCACCGTGCGGCAGATGAGGTAGCATGGGTAGAGAACCGTTGAAGCCGGGCGGCAGGTGAGGATGAGCTGCGTTGTGAGCCTGAATCTTGGCTGATATCATCTTACTCATCACTTGAGAGAGCATATTGGGTGGTGCACTGTTGGGTATCGGCGGCGGCACCTCTTTGACCGGAGACGCGGGCTCCGATTTCGGAACGGTCTCCTCGGTTTGCTCTACATCACTAGAAGCACCGTCATTATCTATAGTCTCTGACTCTTGGCCCATGCGATTGCATAATTGCAAATATTTCTCTTGCATCTCGGCCAGTTGCTCTTGCATAGTTCTCAATTGTGACTTTAAAGCATTCTTTTCTACTAACTTTTGCTGAATTGGGGGTCGCTCACCGTCATCCTCGGAGTCATCCGATACCGTCTGCGCGCTGCTGCCGTGGCTGGTGCCGTACCGTTCTGCTGCACCATCGTGCTGTTGCGGATGATACAGCTTACGCTTCTTGCATCCGTTCACTTGAGGTTGCTGCGGTGCGGGGCTAGAACGCATCGTTGACACTATGTTTTCGACACGAGCACGTTTCACATCCTGTGGCCGCGGTGAAGACCTTTGGGCGTCACTGTCGCGATCTTCCGGCTCCGATTTGGGAGCGAGCAGTTGATCCGAAGGCGGAGGCGCAGGAGGCGGTGAGGTGCGTGAGTCGCAGGCATTGTCCAGCCTCAGCAGTGCTTCGTCGAGGTCCGGCCTCGAGTCCCGCGAAATCGGTCGTTCCGGGGACTGTTTCTCCGCCTTAGGCTCGTCGTTGTTGTTGTTCGCGAGAACATTATTATTGTCCGGGGATAGTCGCATGAGCTCCTTCTTGTGGCTCTGCAGAATGTCCCTGAGAACGCGGTCGCGCAGTACGTCACCGCCATTCGCGTCATCGCCGTCCTCCTGCTTGGGCGGGCGCCCCAGCAGCTCGTTGAGCATCTCGGCCGGCGCGTAGCAAGTACCGAAGAGGCCGAAGTGTTGGCGACCCTCGAAGATGGCGCCGTAAAGTCCCCCGCTCATGTGTGCGGAGCGCGCGGGCGCGGGTCCGTTCGTCGCGAGAGTCGAATAAGAATTGCGTGGCTCGCCGGCGTCCACGCGCTGTCTGACGCGTTTCTGTTTCTTTAGGAGCTTATCCGAGTAGGGCGCGTGTGAGTCGGCCTCCTCCTCCGATGACATCATACGCGAGACGTGCCTCGATTGGCTGGACGGGCGCCGGGCTGGCCCCCGCGCTACTCGAGCCGCATCGCCCGCTCTGCAACAAGGAGGGGAGCGCGATCAGCACACCTGCTCGGGACGTGCAACGCGCGTCTCTGGCGCGCCGCCACTTCGTCTTTCACTACGCTACGAGACGCATGCACTTAACATAGTAGTATTATGGCAACTTTCCAAAACTATATTAGAAATAAACAGTATTTAAACTATAATAATATAATCGATTTTGTATACATGATATTTTTCATAGTAGAATATATTACGTCTACTATTTAGTTTAATATTCTTAAACTCTAAGAGATTAAAAACTAACTTTAAGTTAGAATGTAGAGAACAATTATTTAATTTACTCGTTCCAAACTAAAAATTTAAGCATTTTTATTTAAGTGTCTTAAAAGTTTAGTTAAGACTGTGGAGTTTCATTTAACGACCACTAAAGTACACAATCTTGCCTTAACTTTTGTTCAATTATTTAGTTATATTGTAGGCAATTCTTCCGATTATCAATCCTTTCAAACATTGTAAATACTCAAAAAAATATACGAAAATCTGATAAGAATGATCAGTTAAGCAAGTGTAGTATAAATAGATACTCATAACAAAAGGCTCACGTATATCACTGGTATTAATTCCTTTTGGAGCGTGACTCTTTATTCATACAGGACAATGAATCTAAAAATGTCAGAAATAATTCTGTGAGACACGCGGTGTTTTAGCTTGGGCCCACTGTGATACGGCACGAGAATAAAATTGGGCGGGAGTCTAACAAGATTCGTCATCCTATTAAAGCTGAACACACGCTTGGTCGGAACTAGGAATTTCTCAGACAACATTACGAAGTATTCATCCCTACCTCGAGTAAACAAGTCAACTACTGGACGGGGCACTCGTAATAAGATTATCAAGACGGTAAATAGTTAGGTATTCTTATTAAAAGTAATGAGATTAAGTCGATAGCGTGTCTTGCGTGTTTCTCACAAACGCAAGGCTTCAACACAGATCTCTTTATTTTTATTCAATAAGCCTACTTCACTTATTACGTTTGTGTATACCGCAGTTGACCTCACCGTTGAGGTATGGCATTCTAAACGAATTCACTTCTTATGCCTTTTATTTGACATTTACTGCTTTCAAACTTTGATGAGAGCTGATTTTCTTAGTTTCAACGCTTTTATTACAATTCTAATAGAAAAAAATATGTATTTTAGAATAAATTAATGTCAATAGATTTTCGTTTTAACAAAATGCTTTATTTTTGCACTTATTTTAATTAATTCAAATAAGATTGCTGCTAGTCATAATTCATTTTACGAAATCTAAGAATAATTAATTCGTGAATTACCCTCAAAAACTAGTTAGTGAAACAAAAATTTCGGAAATACCTTATTATTCGTTGACTAAGTAATTTAAGATAAAATATATACCATTGATGTTAGTTCAACTGCGAAGAAGTTTAATTGGAAAAAACTTGTACCTCATAAATGAGAACGAGTATATTGATCGTAATTAATTTGACGTGACGGCTTAAACAATGGAGTCGCGTTCATCTCGCGTCTCTGCCAACATCCGGACGCAATTTGCCACAATGAGATGTTATCAATAGCGGATGACTTCCGACGGTGACCAGCCACTGGCGACCGCCGTCACGGTCCATACCACCGTTGGCCAACCTCTGCTTTCCACATCTAACGATTTTTGTAACGTTAATGCGATTTGCATAACCGAAATAAATGTTGGTACATTATTTTGAATTCATCATTCTAATGTAAAATTAATGTTTATTTATTTTAATATACATCGCAATATTAAGTATACGAGTGGCATTAAACATTCACTTAAATAAAAACCTTGTTTTTGAGGAGATGTTTTTCTTTCATCTTAAAACGAAAGTAAGCAACAACAATCCTTATTATATAAATATAACTTGGTATATAATAAGTTTAAATTTTGTATAGAAGGTACGTCTATACGTATTTTTTAAATTCAAACTATTTAAATATTGAATTTTTGAAATTAAAATGTAAAAATTATTTTAGCGACATGACAACATTATATAACTCATAAAAAAAGCTTATTTCATGAAAATATACTCAATTTAATAGATAACAATTAATATATATTAATTACAGGGAAAAGTTGATTAGAAATAAGGAAAACCGATATGTTATTTAGAGAAGTGAAAATTACTGTTTTCCGATGTTTAATAATTACTTTTCCTTTGGTAAATTTTACATAAATATAGGATAATCCATAATTATACTTGATAGCAGAAACCTGTAGGTAGAGTACAAGTAAATTTACTGTATCAAAACACTGTTATTATTGTAAGTATTTTATATAAATAATATAGTTATTTTAAACATGAAATATATCTAATATAGTGGGCATAGCAGTCTTGTGAGTTGCTTTCTTAGTTTTTGCTTTAAATTCGGTTTGACAAGTCATTTAACATTGCATTCACTGAACTATTACGAAATTAAACATCTTTAAACGTAATTAGGAGAAATAAGTAAATAATAATCAACTACTTACTAATATTTTTTTTAATTTAGGACAGACAAGCACACACTCGTATAGCCAGGATGGGTTGTGGGCCTATTTTGGATTTGGTATCTCATGTTTAGGTTCCCACCCTTGTTTAATATTAAAAAGTCGTGTATCGTAATTTGTGCGAGCACGGAACAATTTTAATAATTACCGCGCCATGAATAAGCAATGCGATGTCAAATTGTGACCAAAACACTATGAGGGGTTGGATTTTAACTTATAGTACATTATTATACACATAATTAATGCTTTAAACGGCTTAAAACACGACAAATATTAGTTAATTTATTTCTTACAAAACATTTCTTACAAAGTTTAAATAAAACACGGTAACGAATTAAAACGCGATATATATTAGTTAAACTTATTTAGATCTTTTTTAATTACGGCCCGAGGTTTCGGATGCTTTGCAACAGCCGTGGACACGAGGAGACACATGATCTTATATCGCTATTTGACCGTTAAACAGTTCTATATAAATAAGCACTACTTACGTAAACTACAGACAGCGCTTTTAGCGCAAAAATAAAAGAAACTAAATTTTTGACAAAAATCATACTCCGGACTTAATGTAAATGTAATATGAAAAAAATGTGCCTGTCCTGACTAGTCACTATAACGCCCAGAGCTATTTATTGTTCTACCGGAACTCGAACCAAGAACTTATTTCTATGATAGGCAACACTTTGACCAAAATTAGTGCTTGGTGTAGATTAAACAAGCCCTTTGCAATATATTTATTGCTATAAGGACGTCATACAAAAGTGGTTAGTGATATAATAAAGTATGCAAAACGAATTTTATGTTATTATGTAGACGTGTAAAGGGATCGTGTACCCTATAGGACCTGTTGATATGCAGTATTGCTAGGGATGTTCTTTTAAGGGCTGTTGTCGATAAGAAACGGTGTCCTAAGATTATCATGAAAAATATTCAAAAATTATTGTTAATTGTTAAAGTGACGAGTAGGAGTTGTAATTGTGGGTAAATTAGTATACAGTGGTATTATATGGTAAATTTATTCAATGTCGTCAATGATTACTTTTGAGGCTTTTGAGAGATAATTTATTACAGTTTTATAATTATATACTATCTCACTTATAAAAAACGAGTATCTTAACTTATTATAACTTCACTACATTATTACAGTTCACGCGAGTAGTACCGACCAAAAACACTTTAACAGTTAAAAACGAGAAATATCTTCGGGCTTTAGTTATAATAAGTTCCAAATAACTTATATATTTTGCGTTTTAAACCGTTAAAGCGCATTAAAAATTCGACTTTCATTTCTACGAACCAATTAGTTACCTGTGTAAGTTATTCTATCGTAGTGTATCGACATAACACATCCCTATTACAAATGCGTGTTTAATTTGCCGTGACCCACCGCCGTCTAATTTTTACGGAAACATTTCCCTTCCGTCTCTGCATCACTCCCATGCAATAAAAATAAGCAAAATAAGAGATTTTCCAACTAAAAACGCATTATATGCACGTATATAATATTATGAAGTGGATTAAAACTTACTGTGAGCAATTTTGCTCGTTTTTGGCATTTATCAAACGGAGTGTAATTGGGCATAACTTGTGACGAAATTTATTTTAAATACTTTTAAAAGACATCAAACAGATTACGAATGTTTGTACTTTGAAATAGTTTTATCTTACGCGAATTTTGTATATCTAAAATAGAGATCGAAAATAGACATACGTGTATCTTTTACTATTGTATGTCTATTATTTTTACATTTGCTTCTCTTTGTTTTACTAGTTCATATGTGTTAACAGAAAATTCAATAAGTATTTGAACACACTGTAGAATCACGACAAACAGACAGACAATCATTTTTAATTTATTTTTTGACGAAACTAAATAATTTTTAAAATGTAAAAGAGAGTAAAGAATATTTTATTTTATTTTTTATTTGTCTAAAGTCTATTATACAACTGTGTATATCCCTTTACAATACAACCGGTATTGCAAATGTCTATTCGTTAATTGCAATAATAATACCGATACAATCTACTGCCATATGCCACCCCCCGGATAGTGGTGGAATTCGTGGGAACATTCACCCTCGCAATACCTCCACATCCACTAGTTGCCATAAGTCACCGGTAATAGTCAACGGACCATGTCCACTAATAAGACGTGACAGGTGGTTGACGGTATTGTAAACGCACAATTTAAATAATTTAAATGACATTCTGGTGTTTGTACTTGGACTTGGGAGAACTGGAGTAGTTTTATTGGTGAGCTGTTTCAGCTACTTATTTTCATACATATTTTTGGGTAACTTGAACAACACAAAGTTTAATATTTTTCCCCGTTTTTATTACATTGCCCGCTGTCTTTTCGCTCCTATAAGCCGCGCGATGTTTTATAGCATATATACCATCCTCAATAAAGTCTCTAACCAACACAAAAATATTTTTGCAAATCGAACAAGTAGTTCATGAGATTAGCGCGATCAAACAAAGAAACTCTTCGGCTTTATGTATTAGTATAGATGATCCAATAAGAGTATTTATTTATTATTTATTTATTATTGCTTTATTATTTATAAACACACCACAGAAAATACATATAATTGAGGAAAAATCTTACATGCTAACTTATAAATAAGAGGCGGCCTTATCGCTAAGTAGCGATCTCTTCCAGGCAACCTGAAGTACAGGAGAGAAGAGATATAAAATAATTTATTTATTTAGTGGGTAGGAGTAGGGAATAACAACTAATATAAAAGGTACATAGTGAAAGTACACACATCGAGTAGGAGGGAAACTAACTTAAATGTTGGAAACGTAAAACTTATACAGCAAACTCTTAAAAGAACGGAGTGATTGAGCTTTTCTGATATTAGTGGGAAGAGAGTTCCAAAGACGGATAGCTTTAACTGTGACGGAATTATTGAAGAAAGAGCTTTTATGTTTAGGGACAAATAGAAGCAAATTATCGATCGAACGAAGATTTAACTGGTGAGTACTCAAGTTTCTGCTATGCATGAGACTGTTATACCAGAGTGTTTGTTTACAATAAAACTATCTGCTAATTAAATTAAAAATAATTCAAATAAAGAATAATATTTCTAACCGCCTTCTACTTTTGAAGAGTTTTAAATATCTACTTGTTAGTATCAAACAAAAAAATCGCAACATATGTACAGTAATTTCTCTAAATATGACTAATGTTTTAAAACTACACAAAATAGAACTAATGATGTCATGTAGACAAGTATCAGAAACAGTCATGCAAGCCAGATTATTACTTATATCCTCGCATGTTTTGTGTTTATAATAGATAAAACATGTAGCCGGTGTATGCTACTTTTTTATATTCTAAACGAAGTACTTATTAGTTAGTAATGTACAAAGAGTGTCAGAGAATAAGAATACATTTATAATTTTCTAAAAAATTTTAGGTTACTTTTGAAAAATCTAGACATAAAATAAATCCGTCAAATTTCCTACCGAGGTAAGAAACGCTATCCACAGATGAAAAAGCTGTGAGGAGTAGACGTTCTGTGCATTTCTGATTGTCCAAAACTGAAATATGTTTGGTTTCGTTTCGTATATTAAACGTAGAAATAGATTTACATAGAGTATGTATTTTAATAAATTAATAAACTTATTTTACATTTACAAAATATTAATTGTCGTACAGTGTATAAATAAAAATAAAATTCTATATATTCCATTAAGTGATTTTAACAACACTATTCGCCACAAAACTTTTTCACAACTACCTACAACATTTATGTTCACTTATGATTGTAATTAATAAACTTTATAAGTATTGTTGTTATCGGCGCATGAGTTACAGAATAGTCGAAGTGGGCGTATGTTGAGTGATACCAAAGTTGACGCAAGCCAGTCGCTACGAAACTGATAAGCTGACATCTGCTGTCTTTCATACTAATACTGATAACCGTTATTTGTCATAAGTTTGCAACATATTTGTATCTAACAGACTTTATATATGTGGCTACTAGAGGCAGAGTAGCCTAACTGCAATTTTACGACTTGACTTATTTATATTTTTATAGTCTGAAAGTGTCAAGAGCCATCATCTACAGATGAAGCCGTGAAGTTTGATCGCGTTTCGGTTTCAGCCTTTGTCTTTCCGAATATCCAA